TCTGCCTTTGGCTCAAGTCATGATCGCAGGGTCCTGGGATTGAGCCCCGCATCAGGCTCCCTGCTCGCTGGGGAGCCTGCTTCCCCCTCTGCCTCTGCCCTTCTATTTGTGCTCTCTGGCTCTCTCTATCTCTCTATCAAATAAATAAAATCTTTAAAAAAAATAAAATAAAAGCAAAGCAGAACTTCTTTAGGAAAAGGCTACTAAACATGTGTTTCAGTAACAAAGGGGCATATTTCATTAAAATGGGATTTCATTAAAAGGAAAATGAAAAGTTTTTGTCTAAGCCAATATAATATTCTTGTACTATATGAAAAAGAATATAGTGAGAGATAACATTTCAAAGCTTGGTGGCTAAACATGAGCGAGTGTAAATTCGCGTGGAAAGTAAACAGTGACTTTGGTGTGTTTGGTGGTTCTGTGCTTTGTTTTGTGGTCACTCACTCATCAAGTAGTTATTAAACCAAATGTACAGGACAGTTGCTGATGGAGGAGATTAGTGCTATGAATAATTCAAAGACATTCTTGTCCTCTAAGAACTGTTAATTAGTAAAACAATAAATCCCATTTGTTGAGTGCCTACCACAAGCCAGTTGGAGTGCTGGTCACCTCACAGTTATCATATTATTGCAATCTTCCCACCATCATGTGGGGCAGGCATTATTAATACCATTTTATTTAAAGATGAACAATAGGGGCACCTGGGTGGCTCAATAGGTTAAGCATCTGCCTTCGGCTTGGGTCATGATCCCGGAGTCCTGGGATTGAGTCCCACATCGGGCTCCCTGCTCAGCAGGGAGTCTGCTTTTCCCTCTCCCCCTGCCCCTCCCCCTGCTCACGCTCTCTCTCAAATAAATAAAATCTTAAAAAAAAAAAAAAAAAAGATCAACAACAGAGTCAGAGAGGTAGCTTTACCAGGATCACACAGCTAATAAGTGGGAGAACTTGTCTCTGTGCGGCTTGGCCGGGACTTGCTGCTGTGCTCAGCTCTGGGCTCCACACGGTCAGAATTCACTCAATAGGAGTGTCTGGGGCCTTGGGGAGGAGGTGCGTAAGGATGTGACAACTTAGGCAGAGAGAAGAAAAGTATTACCCAGATCATTCAGGACCACTGTTCTGTTACTGAGATGGTAACAGAACATTCTGGAAAGAAATGGTGGACTTGGTCTGATTCCGCAAAAAGGTTTTGGCCCAGGATAGTTCCCTGTCCTGCATGATGGATCCTGGAAAGCTTGAGATAGAAGGTTAAGTGCAGCTTTCAGTCTGACATGGACACAAATCCCCAAAGAGACCCCACCTACGCCAACATGTACTTTTGACCTCACTTGAAATGTTCTTCCCAGGGTCAGTTTTACCCAAGAGCAGAGGAAAAAGCAGTTGGCGACACCCGATTTCAGAAACGGAGAAGCAGTGGTGTCCTGGTAAGTGCTGAGCAGGCCGATCTCTGGGAGGCGGGGAGAGGGAGGACGTGGTTGGCCACATTCCATGGTATAAATGCTCCAATAGTGGCCCATTTCAAGGCACCAATGGGGCATGGACAGACTTGAGAAATTCCTGATAACTTAACAACTGGCTCGCTCACCACTGGGGTCTTCCTGTTTGACTCATACGTGCCTGGAATTCCTTCAACTGGGGACAACGCTTTTTATTCCACAATTAGAGACAAACGCTGATGCGCCGGCAGAGGGGACACATTCACACTGCAGGTGAAGTGACCCAGGACCTTGCCTTCAGTACTGTGACTGAGGAGCTGGAAGAGATGGTCACTCACTGCCTTCTTCAACGTTTCCACCAGCTGATGGTCTCAAACGAACGAGGGCAACATGGCTTTACGCAACTGTGATTCAGCTAGCGGGAGGATGTTCCGATGGAAAGTTTTCCTTACGTGGGGATTTTTTTTTAAGAGAGGGCTGGGGAAAAAAAAGGAACTAATGGCTCCCAAGATGGAACTGTCCTCAGGACAGCGCTCCCTCACCACTGCCTCAGGATGCCGGCGGACAGAAAGCTCTTGTGCCCTCCCTGTGCGGCCCGCTCTCTCTCCATGCCGTGAGCATTTACACGTTCACAGAGCTCTGTGTGTGAGACCTCTCTGGTGACCCCAGTGGCCCTAAAATGCACGTAACCCAGGGCAATCATTGGAAGTTCTCCACTAGTGATCCGGGAGGCCTTGTTCCCACAGCCTGGGGGCAAGCGCTAAGACATAAGGCATCTGTGGTCCCCATAACTTGGTCCCATTCCAGGCTTGTGGTCGTGGCTCCAACCAGGACTCGTCCCCTCTCTGCGGTAGACCCCACGGTTGATGCCAAGCTCCCCTTGTCACCCCATCCCTATACACACAGATGTGCAGCAGCAGGGGGCCCTACCGCTGAGGGGGTCCTCATGGGGCCACGCAGGTCACAGAGACCATCCCATCCTCCTCCTCTGGAAGCTCAGGCCGGGCAGTCCAGGGATGACCCACGGGAGCAATCAATCCCCCCTGAAGCCCACCCTCCCTCTGGATTTCCAATTATATTAAAATAAAATTTTTCCAAGGCCCAAAACTTTATCATGGAGGCCACTTGTGGACCGTGTTAGGTCAGCTGTGAACGATTCACTGGATGGTACAAGGGGTCACAAGCCCGATGCACCCCTCAAGCGTACCCTTGGCACCTGGGGCTGCAGGGCTGTGGACGAGGCCCCGGTGCAGACAGAAGCAGCCAGCAGGGTGGAGCCTGGCTGCCAAGGGGGGGTGGGGTCTCACCCTGTTAGGGACGCCTTCTGCTGGAACAGAGGATACAGACTTTTCCTCAGGGCTTCCCACCATGCAGGGAGGTCGGAGGCCAGCCCTTACAATTCCGTTTAATTAATAAAAAGAAACGGAGGCTCAGAGAAGCAAACTGACTTGCCCAGGATCCCAGGGGAGGCCAGTGGTAGGGCTGGGGTTAGACATGGGGTCACCGCCCCCCACCACCCCCGTCCAGTGGCATTTAGGACCTCGGGTTGCCTCTTCTCTGTCGGGATGTGGGAAGAGTAAATAAAGACACTTGGACTGAAAACTGACTCCGAAAACCTTTGAGGATCATGTGACAGTACCTGAAAAGCACCCAGATCCCTGAGAGTCTGCGAGCCAAACAAAATGCCATTGTGGAAGAGGAAAGTGGGTGCCCTGGGCGTGGGAGCTGCAGTGTGCGGCAGCACATAATAGCTAGTGCTGTCCCGCTGGTTGCAAAAGACTGTGTCATATTTCATGGAAAGTTCTAAAGGTCACCGCGGCACTTGACTCCGAGTGAGGCTGCTGTGTCACCTCCTCGGGGCCTTCCATGTCCCTTCCCAGAGACGTTTATGCGGCCAAGGCTCCGGAGAGTGACGCGTCCTCACCTTGACTCAGGGACCCATGCCCACTCGTGCGTCACTCCAGCGCGGTCACGGTCACTCACCGCTCCCCCACGAGCTGGAGTTTAGAGGTTCCAGTTTGAGCGACAAGAGGGTGATTTTTTTGGCAAAGACAAACCACCTCAGCCCAAAGAGTTCAACTCACACCAGTGACACCTAAACCCAGTGACAGTGGGGGTATCATCTTTCAGAGTACAGAAGTGTTCAGGAAGAGAGAAAAGCGATGGCAATAATTATTTTTAGCATGCCCAAGTGCAACACCTAAAAGTATGAATCCCTAGATGATCTTTAAGTCTTCCATGGGGCATCACGTGCCCTATGGGGCCCCCCAGTGGGGGCCTTACTTAATCCCTCCTCATGGCCCCTGCAGGCTCTAAGGTCTCTCTGCCAGGCCAAGAGAGGTGCCAGAGACCAGAGCTGCTCCTAACCCCAGCATTCAGGCGATTCAGGGTGAACCCTGGGCTCAGGGGCTGAAGAGCAGGGGCTTTCAAAAATTAGATTCCAAAGATTCTAGAAGCCGAGCATCTGGATTTTCCATTTAGTTCATCCTCTGAGTTATGTCTTGGAAAGGCCAAAGTGGTAAAGAACTGTGCAAAAATCCTTGGCAAGGGTCAAGACCTCATCAACTCCCACAGAGTATGGCCACCTAGGCCTTCACCTCCCGAGCAGCCAAGCACAGTTTCCCTTTTCCAGAATCCGGGGCTCCTCAAGGAGGCCCCACGGGCTTTTCCACTTCTAATATTTGGAAGCCATGGGTTTAAACTATGAGATCTGAGCTGAAGCTTGCCTTTAATCTGTTTCTTTGGCACAGTGAAATATATTATCAAACAAGACGATAAAAAGGAAGGTTTGAAATACTTAGGTCAAACGAAGCACGTAGGCTCACATACCAGGATGTGATTTTGAGCCATTTAGTTTATTCCTCCACCTTTCTCCCCTAAAACTTCCACGGAAGTTTTGAGCAAATCAAATTAGATAAAACTGCAAAAAAATATCTTGAAAGCTGCAGAGCATTTCACAGGTGAAGTGCATCGTCTCAACCTTCACAGAAAGATCCCTCTGGGCTCAGACTCCGAGTGCCTCAAGGACACGGTGGGAAAAGCCAGAGCAAAGCCTCAGTTACCGAAAGGCGCCTCCTTGGGCGCCGACCCAGGGCTGGCTGCCTTGGCTCTGCGTCTCGGGGGAGGGTGCTGGATCCGCTAGCCTGGCTGGCTGGGCAGGCGCCGGGACCTGAGCGAGGAGCAGCCCATGTGCCGTTCCTGCTCCTGATCCCGACCCAGAAGTCAGAAGTAATTGGACAAAACCCTGCTCATCAGCCAAAACACTCACAGCATAAGCATTTTATTTCTTCAATGAGGAACCAAGGGACTTTGCTACTAATAATTTACTCTTTTTAACCACACGCACAAAGAATACTGGTTCTTAGCAGCGCATTGCAATGGGAGGGGGGAGGTGCTATTTAGGCAAGAACACTGCCGCAGAGCATGTAGCTGGCCCGAGGAAGGAGACGGGAAGGATGAGAGTCAGAAGCCCTCATGATACAGAGCGTAGTTCCTGCATCTCAGTGCTGGCTGGATACGCGAGGTTGCATCACAGGCAATCCGGCGAGGACCCTAAATCCTCTGTAAAGAGTGAAGGTATAGTTCATATCTTTTGAATGAGAAAACTACAAAGTGTACAGTGCATCGAACACTTAAAAAGATGCATGTTTTGGTGCTTAATGGTTTAAGTTTCAAATATCTAGAAAGTTAACTTGGGTGGCTGGTTCACTTCTTGATGTTGACAAAATATAAAAATGGTATTCCATAATTGAGATTGTTGGCTAATTCAGATTGGCCTTATCCCAAACCAGTCAGATGTTACTGTAGTCACTGACATCACTCACTTCGACTTCCTTTCCCATTACATTATTATTCTCGGGGTGGGGGGGCGTTACTGCCCCTAAGGGGTGAAAATGGCTCTTGGGAAGGGGGATGTACTCTTTTCACATATAAAGCACAGAGAGACACATAATACATAAATAATATATGGTATATCTGTTCTGCTAAAATTGCAAGGGGGTGATTAGAAACAAATGTCTAAGAAGGCTCTTTGCGGGGGTAAAAAAAGAAAAGGCTGATTAATTTAAAAAAGGAAAGCAGACGGGAAACTGAAGATTGGAGGGGTGAGTAGTCATCATCCATCATAATAAGACAACGTATAAGCTGTAACATTGATAAGCCATAAAACAACTGAATATGTACCCGATTTTAAAAGGTTCGTTTTAGGTTTTGGTGGCATGGGGTAAGGGATTATTGCCTTTCAATATCTCTCATGGCAACTTGTTTGATTTTCTAATCATGTGAGTGAACTGCTTTACTGAAAACTCAAACGTAAAGAGGAGAAAACAAAATAAAACACAAACAGAATCTCGTAGACGGGGATCAGTACCTACAGCAGGGAAAATCAGCAAGGTGCATTCTCAGTACGTTGCTTCAGCAAAGGCTAAAAAAAGAAAAGCCAAATGTTGGGAAACAGTGTTGTAAGCAGCAGCATGAAGAAAGAGCATCTCCTGGCATGCATGCCCGTATCTGGCTTTTATCTCTTATCTCTGGCCCAGAGGTGGAAGATTAGCGGGGAACATTATCCCAACCCTCCCCCAGTGAGGAGAATGGGCTAATAACACAGCTTCCCGCCCTTCAGGCGGCTTGGGGCTGGTGGAGCAAGGGTCCCTGCAGGATCAGAGGGCGAGGGGGAAGGTGGGAGGTCCTCCCAGAGGCCTACGAGCCACAAGAGCTGGACCGGCATGCCCTTCCGATGTCCCCACCGAGAGGAAACCCTGGGAAGAAACTAGACCACTGCAGTCAAGCAAGGGCTCCTTGAAGGTCAGAGGATGAAACTCAGAAAGGATGCTCCGGAGAATCTGCTGTCTTCACTCTCCCCTCACTGGAGGCTCTAAGGGGATGGTCAGACCCTGAGCCAGCCCGGCACGATGTGGTGACAGTGACGCAGTCCCCTCCTCCATCAGCCTGTCCTGGCGTCTCCAGAGTCAATGAGCTGCAGTCACCGGCACCCTCAGCCCTTCATTTCAACCAGTCTAAGCGTCCATACTGGCCAAGGACTAAGGAGCAACACGTTAAGGTGTTTTTGGTCATCAAGACCTTGCTCTCATCAAAAGTAAAAGTTTTTCTACCGCGAAGGACACGATTAAGAGGGAGAAAAAGCCGCCCGCAGAAAGGGAGAAGAAGAAATCCGCAAAGCATGCATCAGGTAAGTGTCCAGCATCTGGAATGTAGAAAGAACTTCTATAATTCAGCAACAAAAAGACAACCCAATGGAAAAATGAACAGACATGTGCCCAGAGAAGATACACAAATGGCCAATAAGTGCATGGGAAGATGCCGGATGTCCTGAGGGAAGGGCAGGTCAAAACCACAGTCAGATAGCCCCTGGCAGGTCAAAACCACAGTCAGATAGCCCCTGGCA